AGCTTAATCTCAGTGCAAAAACAACAAATTACAATCAACTTTATCTTCCAAAAATGAACAAACAAACCTACTAAAAAAAACAAAGACAGAAAAATAAGAGAATATATAACGTGTAGGTCCTTCCCATTGTACAACCTTCAACTAAAGTAGATACTCTTATAATTTCATGTTGGTAAAAGCCCTATATACTTCATCTCTGTGTATAACAAAATAAGCACGTGTTAGTTTGTTTTCGAGAATGCACAAACATACAAACCAGATGCCAACACAAAGCAAATACTCCAAAAACAGATAAATAAGAATCTGATATTATCTGTAACCCATTTTTACTTGCCGCAAATGTTTGGAGTAGTTGGAAAAGAAGGTACCTGCGGACACCCATGCTTGAACAATAAAGTTTAATTTTTTTCCTTGGAAAATTAAAATGCTCATGCTTATATATACAATGTGAGACTCATCCAGATCAATGTATACTTTAATATTGTACCTGGCACAATTAGTGGAGCCAAATCAAACCAATAGCCATTATAAAAATATTTGAGTGGCTAAAAATAAAACACATTACACACATACTACACAAAACAATAAAAAAATCTACCAAAAAATTGCAATCAAATATTTTTAATGACATTAACCTGATACTTTGAAACAATTACAATCAATTGCACCACAACACATCTTTCTTTCATCATTAAACTATCTTCCCACTTGAACTAAAAATAAAAATTAAATTGTCATACACAATAACACAAACCATCAACATACAAAGTCAATAAGTCAAAGAAGGACATTCGAAAGCAAAGAGCAAAAAGCAAATAACCAAACAATTCAGAAATGTTCAAGGAGCAAAAAAGGAGATTCAACAACACAAATTGTAAGAAAAAATTTAAAAACATGAGCTTTCCTCGTTTGCATGTCCAGGAAATCCAATTGAGAAATAGACCAATTAAACTCCTTTCGCCTACCAAACAAAAATACAAAGACACCCAAAATAAGAACGGTTGCAAAACAGATCTAACCTTGTGGGTTAATTTCCGAATCATACAGAATTTACTGGAAATCTAGATGTTGGATGTGCAGATTTAGTTGAATATGAATATTCATTAGAAAAAATCTTGCCTCTATGCGGCGTAGGGAAAGATGTAACGAATGCAAAATTGTTAATAGAAAGATGAAAAAACTTGTTAATGCTCCAATGCAGGTCTGCGTGAAATGAGGAGGAAAATGCTTAAGACTTCAACTAAACAACCCCGTCCAAAGTTTAATCAAAACAGATAGCTGGGTCGGTGAACAAATAAAGCAACACCCAATTCTAAAATGAAAGCACCATACATCAGAAAAATAAAGCAACACCCAAGAATTTAGATTCTCACCAACAATGCTGGGTGCTCTTAAAAATTGCTCAGTTTCCAAAATTTCCGAGTCAAATGCTCTTGAAGCTAAAATTAAGCATTTGAAAAGAAGAAAAAAACCACAATTATCAATTAAAAAAATATGAAAGACATGAATTTCATCACAGCCCAAGTGTAAATTAGAAATTAAATAAACAAATAATGAAACCACGATTCATTGCAATCTTCTAATCAACGCTTAGACATGGGCAAAACGCACATACCTCAAAATTGAAAGCCCTGAAACTGAGAGAGACCCCTTTGGAATCGTTTCGCACAACTCGAACTTCAAGCTTTCTAGACGTGACCACGATGGCTCGACCGCGCCGCAAGGTAATCCATCCCTGGCTCCTGTAAAGTTTCAACGATGATAAAAATAAGATGAAGGTTTTACAAATGATAAACTATGTGGCAGGATGAGCAGTCACCGGTAGAGGTGGACCCGACCTCGCTGCCGGTGAACTTCATTTACTGGATGAACTAAAGCGGGAGGACGCATCAGAGTAGGTATCGAAGAATAAAGGCTGTAAGAAACATAGGGAGAGAGGGAGAGTT